CAAAGGGTTAATCGCCGGTTTTAGTTCTATGGAAGTAAGCGTCCATTTTTTATCGAACTCCCTTCTTCTCGTCAGATGGATATGCTTTAAAAAACCTGCTAAAAGAAAGTTCCCCAGACACGGTACCTTTATAGTTATTTTCGCCGCTGGTTTTCAACGAAAAAGAACTGATAGTGAGAAATCTAACACTTTTATGTGCTCAGTAATAGCAAACGTTTTTATCTTTTTCGTTGTATTCATCAGCAAAAAGTACTTGAAACAAAAGTTTATGTATCACATTATCTGCATCCGAAAAGAGAGCTCGTATTTTCGTTTTTGTTATTAGATAAGATATCAAGGGACAACACCAACCCGTTATTAATAAAATAAATTACGCCATGAGTTTAAGAAAATAAGAAAAAAATATATACTTTACCTTCAGCTGCAAAAGATATCGGATGGTTGTTTCTTTGTCTGTCGATAAAATGATGGTGCAAATAAAAGAGTAGCTCTCGATCTGTCTCAATCTGCCAAGACGTTATAGTCCTGAGTTGTCTACTTTGAATACAGTTCTTGGAATATAAGGGAATATAACAAGAATCTTTTGTGACACCGCCGCTACCAGAGATAGACGAGTCGCGGTGCCACATCGCCCCGTCGGCCGGCCGGGTAGCGGCGTAATCAGGATTTGAGGCTGAGTGGGCTCAGTTCCGGAACTTTTTGAAAAGTACACAAATGTAGTGAAAATACGAGCTCTCTTTTCGGATGCAGATAATGTGATACATAAACTTTTGTTTCAAGTACTTTTTGCTGATGAATGCAACGAAAAAGATAAAAACATTTGCTATTACTAAGCACATAAAACCGTTACATTTCTCACAGTATCTGCATCCGAAAAGAGGGGTGCCCATGTTTCAGTGTAGATATCATGTTGGAATCATCTTTCACGTTTATTGAAATTCAAATCATTAACTGAGATCTTACTCACTGTGGTCATGAACATAAAAGTTCTGTTTTACGATTAAAAAGGTAGACTCACATGATTCCTTCCTAGACATATAAAGTGTGTTGCAAAACCACTCCGGAATGATCCGTCTGGTTTAGCGAAACTGTAATCTTAGCTTTTTTCCGTTAAAGCAAAATCTACAAATACTTAGCACCACATTTGTGCACTTTTCAAAAAGTTGTGGGGCGGAGCCCACTCAGTCTCAAATCCTGGTTACGCCGCTATCCGACCCGCCGTTGGAGCGCTGTGGCACCCCGACTCGTCTATCTCTGGTAGGGTCGGTGTGTTAAATGATTCTTGTTATATTCCCTTGTATTCCAGGAACTCTATTCAAAATAGACAACTCAGGACTATAATGTCTTGGCAGATTGAGACAGAGATCGAGAGCTACTCTTTTGTTTGCACCATCATTTTATCGGCAGACAAAGAAACAACCATCCGATATCTTTTTACAGCTAAAGGTAAAGTATATCTTTTTTTCTTATTTTCTTAAACTCATGGCGTAATTTATTTTATTAACAACGGATTGGTTTTATCCCTTGATATCTTATCTAATAACAAAACCGAAAATAAGAGCTCTCTTTTTCTGATACATAAACTTTTGTTTTAAGGGCTTTTTGCTGATGAATGCAACGAAAAAGATAAAAACGTTTGCTATTACTAAGCACATAAAACCGTTAGATTTCTCACTATCAGTTCTTTTTCCGTTGAAAACCAGCGGCGAAAATAAGTGTAAAAGAACAGTGTCTAGGGAGCTTTCTTTTAGCAGATTTTTAAAAGCATATCGATCTAACGAGAAGAAGGGAGTTCGACAAAAGTGGACGCTTACTTCCATATAACTATAACTGGCGATTAACCCTTTGACAACTGGATTTTGTATGGATAAGTTTTGTCGATGCCTATGATGCAATCAGGTAGGTCTTGAACTAGATTATCGTACACGATAGTGAGATCAACGATATGATCAACATGAGTGCGTAGTACACGATTTTAGTGAAGAGTGGTGGGAAAGCAGGGAAATCAGGGTACAGTGATCCGAGTTAAGCCATACAAGTTACTTTTTCTTCAATGTTTCTTACCGTCTTTTAAAGTTTCAAAGGCTCTACCTAACTATATTGATATGGATGATGAAACAGAAGGAAAGAACGAATAAACTCAAACATTTTGATGACTGTTGTCCGCAAATCATTCCTCCTTACACATAGATCGTGATCGAGCGTATTCTTAAACCTCTGATAAACTTGCATATACATACTTATACATGCTTCTTTCTCTCTTTTTTCTCTTTCCTTCATCTTTCTCATTGGCTTGATGTGATGATGACGGACGATGAATCACTGAAGGCTCTTACCGAAGACCGTGTAAAAAAACTCAAAACAAAATACAGAACCAAACGTCATCAATAGAAACACCAAAATTATCTTCAACAATGAAAGTGACATTTGTCAGCTAAGACGACTTAGGCCAGAATCGGCAGAAATGCAATCTCCACCACTAACTTATCCGAAACCAACAACAAGAACAGCAAAAACAATCGAAAATAAAGATGTTATTGTAACGAACTTTCCTCACAAAGAGTAGTTGAAGACAATATGTTCCGTTTTATTAGCTCTACAATGGATAAGTTCTTCGCATACAGAAAAGGATCACGCTTACATACAATGCGTGCAAGGAGAAAAAGAGAGTATAACAAATATAGGGGATGCACTTTGAAATCCTTTGCAGGTGAAGGGGATTCGTCGTGGTAAAGTATGAACGCTCTGGACCATGAAACGCCCTCGGAGAATAGTTGCATCCAGTAATCCTTTATCAAAGTGCGTCCCTGGCAGAGCTACTATCTTCACAGAATGGATCAATTCAATCAATACTCAAATGGAAAAAGAGAAACGGTAAGTAGTGATTTGACAAGAATTACCTTGTTCTTGTGCAATCTTCCAAATCAAGAATAACACAAGTAACGTTCATCGGCTTCCGATTCACTCGTACTAGACTGAACGCATAGAAGTCATTATCCTTCACAATATTGTTCCTCTCCTTCAATGTAAACTTGGCGTCATTTTAAATATCCTTCTTGGTAATAATTGATGATGAACGATCGTAAGACAATAGATCATCATGCTATCGTATGATGTACTGCCAAGAGAACAGCACATACCGCAGGTCTGCGCTTCACAGTTCAGCTTTCAGTCATCGATACTCGTAACGCTGTCACCAACTGTTTTGTCTTTCTCGTCGAAGAGTGTACACATATCGATTGCTCTGAAATTTTTGTATTTCGCATCATATTCATCCTTTGGGCGCGCGAGTGTATGTACTGAGTTCGGGATAGCCGTGCATTGAGAAGGAGCCAGGAAACTACCTGGTATCAGTACTTCGAAAATTTTCAGTAATAATACTGGTGTAGATGGTTCTTTATTAATGCAATATTCACAAATACATGATGAATTATTGTCGTCATGTGGATGAGTTCGTAGCCAATATGTTTTGAACTCGTCTTGTTCATTTCGTACATTTAATATAGAAATTTGTTGATTTGTGAATAGCTGATATTTAACAAAGGATTTTAATTCGTCGCGGTTGCCCCATATGTGAATCGAGGATTTGGACTGAAATACAACACGAAAAAGTTCTTGTATTGATTCAAATTTTCGTGACTCTTGATATGGCAGGTGGCGTACTTCCACTAACAACACTATTGATGACTGAGTTTGTCTTAAAATCTATTTGTATTAATGTTGGTTCATTGGGATGGTATGGTTTGATTGTTGATTCCGTATCTATGATAAATCTAGTGGCATTTTTTGAATCTAATATATATTTTTCTAAATTGAGAATTTCTGTTGTTTTATTAATATATTTAATAATATAATATGTGGGTTCAAATGGTAAATATTTCAATGAATATTCATAATCTTTAATTCGTTTACGTAATTGTTTTCGTTTATTTGCTGTTAACTGGTTAGCTAAAGTTATATCGTGAAGTCTATTTTTAGCTTGTTCATATTCTTCGTTAGTCAACAACATTGCTAAAACATAAAAGAAAAAAATGATTCTATTAGCAAAATCTTATAGGGACAATTTCTTTTTCTGGTATGCGACCAAGATCATTCATTTGGACGAAAGAATCTTTTTCATAGACAAAAGTTTTTATTGTTTTTTTTTTGTTTTCACCTATTTTCAGAAAAATCTCAACTCGAATTGCGTGAAAAGTAGGTTCGAATTACCCTATTTTTGCTATGAAACTTTGATAGTTTTTACTATCGGCTAGACCACTTTTTCAACGATAAGTCTTAGATCATTTTCGATTTCATACTGATAGACACAAGTAACATAAACTTTTCGCATGGGGAACATCAGAGTTTTACATCTTGTATATGCTGAAAGTGATTCAAAAATTGATAATCTGCTTTTAATTTTAAAACGATCATCAGTCATGATTGCAAGAATTCAACAAAGTCATTTTACCAACAGAATCAATTGTTCTAGATTAAACTTCAAAATGGCTGTTGAAAGTCGAGAAGTGGTTCTTGATGTTAATGACCTACCAAAAACTACTACCGTCAGAAACCAAGACGATGATGCATCACCCAAAACTACTGCCGACCCAAATCAAGAAGATGATGCACCACCAAAACAGTTACCAAAGCCGTTGGCTGAATTTAAACAATATGTTGACTCCAAATTATGTTACTATTCCAAACCTCTGGAAAATGTTGAACTCATAAGTATTGAGCCAAAAATTGCCTATCAGTGTACCATGGAAATACTCTTTGAAACAAGGTACTTACGCATGGTAGTAAAGCCTTATCCATGGGAAAGTGGAAGGGTCATGGGAAGCCGTTCATTGGGTAAGCTGAACTGTCTGATTTTCGAGACATTAATTAATTAAGAGGAGAAGGTCCTTCATTACATTCTACGTATCGTTCCTTCAACGTGGTGTTCTATTGTCACGAACGAAGGGTTTACTTCATGAAATTTTCCTTGACCATATCGAAAATTCCCTTAGGTATATTCTAAAAGGAAGCACGCTTCTAAATCAACTTTGTATTCAGAAAATTCAGCGCTTCAAGAAGGTTTATTACATGAAGATTTCGACTTTTTTCGGACACGTTTTCGGGATTTTGCTATTACCGAAATTTCTACTTGTCATTTGGCACGGGTCGTCGCATTCTTGATCAAATAGAAATATACGAAATGTTCATTTTTGCTTTGATGACAGGAATCTTGCCTACTGACAGGTATTTGTAAAACACACGATGATCCACAATAACCCACAATGATCCACAGTGACCCATATCCTTTACCAGTGAGTAGCCCACCAAGAATTAGACAGATGCCCAAAATATTAGAGTTATTTATTGCAGTCTAAGAAAAATAGGAAGGCTTTCTCCAGTATCAGGTCAGAAAGGATTAAATGTTGTGAAAAGATAGGAAAGATTACTAATGTGAGTGATTGTTTGATGCAATTTTAGCCTATGAATTTAGAATTTTATTTCCGACTTAAAGCTGTTGAACCGTGGATAAGTAACTTTGTAAAGCCAAAAATCACGGTTCGGATTGAATAAAATCGACTTCTTGTCATTCCAGAATTTCTCTGAATGATATTCTGAACCAGTTTCAATTCTACACTACTATAGATCGCGTAGTCTTTGTACTAAACTATGAGTTACATTAAGGAAAAATTATAGAATACAGCACTATGGGAATTTTTGGAATGACTGGTCTTTACATCAGACGCTAATTCATTGCGAAAATGTTTTCTCGATTTCGTTGTCTGTAAGGGAGAAGATTGTAAGTAATATCTGACATGCGTAACAAGAGGAACAGATCGGATATTTTGGAGAGTGAAATTTCCTCTACCAACTCGCATATGTAAAGATCCTCGGTCGTTCCAACTGGGTGAGTTGTAATCAAAATACAAAACTTGGTAATAATGAAAAATCCTGGATACTTATGCAATTAAAATTTTTCTGAGAACACAGTTTTGTAGACCTAACGCTTCTGATCAAAATAAGACCTTGCACAGCTGTGTATGACCTTGCATCAAAAAGTTACGGACATTTTCCTATGAGTCCTAAAACCGAATATTTCATACAGCGTTTAATACAGCGTTTTCATTATATAAGAGTTACACCTGAAGTGCGTTCCAAGATTTTTAATCGCAGTTTGTCGTAGAGAGTTCATTCTTTTTTTGTTTAAAAGAGGAAAAGAAAGTACATCGACTGACCGGCGTCGATTTTTGAATTAGGTCTTAGTATTTTGTCAAATTGAGGATTTTTCGGGTTTCGGAGGTTGTTGGTTGCCTGGAAAACCAATAAAGGCTTAATTGGAAAATCGGCGCCGGTCAGTCGATGTAGATAGGTGTCTGGTAGACTCTGCAGCTTGAAGTATATTAAAAAATCTTGGGACGTCGTTCAGGATCCTTTTTGGATCTTGATCTCTGGAAAACTCCTAAACCGTAACACTTGGAGAGAGAAAAAATTTTTCATTCCCGTAACTCATTGTACCGAACATTTATGGAAAGTTTCGAATAATTTCTGAGAGGGAGGGGCCCTCAACTCATTCTGAACATATATTTAGAAAGAACATCGAATTCTGATTCTAGATGAGCACTTTTCATTTCTTATATTTACTGCTCAGCAGTAAAAAATTGAAGAAACCTTTCTTGCCAAGACTTTAGCGCAGTAGGTTCATTGTAATGGTAAACATTAAAAGAATACATTCTTCCTATTTTTCTCAGACTGCAATAAATAATTCTAATATTTTGGGCATCTATTTAACTCTTGGTGAGCTACTCACTGGCAAATATGGGTCACTGTGGATCATTGTATGCGTTATTGCGGGTCATTGTAGATTGAAAAAATCAATATTCATGGGAATTCATCCTTATATTTCAACCTATTTGGGTCGTTGTAGAATTAGCTCCTCAAGCTCGATCTACCAGTGGTATTTGTTCGCGATTTGGGGATCATTGTGGATCATCGCGTGTTTTACAAATACCCACTACTGACACACTCATATTCTCATCCGTTTTATTTACAAAATTTCTTCGATAGCACTGATCATAGATGTCTCTAATTCAAAATATGGCAGTTATTTTTTTGAACAAAAGAAATCAATTTAATAATTAATCAAGTTTTAAAGATATTCTTCTGTTCTTTTGTGAAAGACTAATAACCCAGGGCGATCATTCCGACCGTGGGAAACGGCACCGTAGACGCTTTTAACTGGCTCCAAAACAGTTATCGGTAATTACCTTATATCACCGTTTTATGGTGTATCGTAACGATATAACTGTCTGTTATCGTTTTTGTAACGTTTCCGGCCGTTCACGGACCGTATTGTTCGACATGGGAATGTATGTAAACACACAGAGCATAGCTCTGCCAATTCTTTGCTTTTGTTATAGATTATCAGTAATATTGAAAACTTTTTTATTTTCGCCGTACAATTTAGAGTAGTTCCATCCCCAGGTCGCTCAAAACGACGACTGTTACGGCGCCGTTTACGGCAGTTTACGATGCAAAAACGGATATCAAAAACGACGCCCGTATATTCACCGTATTGATTCGTTTTAATATGTCCAGTGATACGGAGCCTAAGTAACATGGTACGACCCTCTTAGAAGGACCGTATACTGCTGTATTTGTTCCGTACTATGGTAGTATTGGCTCGTATTACTGGACATATTTTACTCCTCGTAATAGCACTGTTTACGGGTCGTTTTGCACCGTATACGATCGTATACAGTCCATTGACCATGGTCATGTTTCACCTTTATATTCATGAAGCTTTACAAACGACTATAATATCATTTGGTTCATGTAAATATGTTTTGTGAAGGTCGACTCGTCGAAGACACGGAAATTGAGGGTGAAGCAGTTGGAAATATTTGGACTGATTACTCGGTTGGTATACCATCCTCTGACAAATCTAAACAAGTTTTGTCTTTGTCTGAAAGTATCTCCTACACAAGATGCAGCAAATGTCGAGCAAAACGCTATATTTCATGCAGTACTTGTCATGGCATCGGCCACACCATAAACAAGTGTGAAATGTGCAAGGGTTCCGGTAGAGTTACTTGCTCTAACTGCAGTGGCGCGGGAGGGTTCAGGCATGTACCAACATTAACTGTTAAATGGTTCACTAAACGCACCATATGCTTTTATCAAAATTCTTTTCTACATGAGAAAAGAATTCTCAAGGGACAACGAACACGTATCTGGTCGATAGAAAGAATACCATGGTCGAAAGAATCATCAGTAGAAAACTGTATTCAAACGATATATGAAGATACTCCTAATATTCCTCTGAAGGCAAATATTATCAGAGATTACTATGAAAAACAGTTAAATCCCATGAAAGATGCAAATAATGAAATGCGACGCTTAGATTTTTCTGTGGAACGAATGACTTTTGAAGAAGTTCGTTATACTATGGGAGGAAATTTCCTAAACAAACGAGATCCAACATTAGGTATGAATTTGTATATCATAATATTCCGTTCATATAATTCTATTCTTTAATTTCATAGAGAATACGTTTCGATTCTGTCAGTATCCTGGACTTGAAGAACAAAGTTTAATCTATGAAAACGATTATCCATATAACTGTTGTGGCTGTTTCGGAGAAAAAGCAGCTTGTTATTTTTCGTGTTGTACCATTCTCTAAAAGGATACGACTAAAGCACTGATCATGAGCATTTTCATAAACCCTTTACAAAGGGTCATACTTTTTATGTGACAATTCGGAAGCACCGGTAATTTTTGATTTATACGTTCTAAGAACAAAGTGAAAATGAAAACATTCATTTACAGATTTTATCTATGTCTGCTCATTCCATTATTTATCTAAATAAATACTTTACTAACTAGGAAAGTAACTAATCCTCCAGGTGTCTAACTATCTAACTAACAACCTATATAATCTACTAACTAACTTATCTATCTAACTATCTATTTATCTCACTATCTATCTTACTAACTTACGTATAAATCTATCTAACTAACTTACTAGTTAACTTATATATGTAACTTGACTTTTACATACATAGTCATTGGAAAAGCCATCAATGTATTATTCACTCCATCGTTTTTATAAAATTTGGTCGCCTAAAACATATCCAAAAGAAAAATAGAAAGTTTTCAAGAAACGGACAATGTCGTTCGCACACCCATTCGCTTCACTGATGATGTGTTAACTGAATCTAAAATAGAAAAATAAAATCGTTGAAAGAACAAAATACAACGCATTTGGTGGCTTCGATAAATAATATTGCAATTGTTGATCTCTAAAAGATGGATATGTACTCCTAGCAACTTCGATATTAGTCTTGTAATGTGAATCTGAAAGAGATGCAAGAGACTTTCAGACAGTATATCGCGACACTTACTCACTGAGAATTTTGAATGATCTTCCGTGTTTAATGTAATAGATGAAGTTATTGTACTTGATGATAGTTGGAAAAGATTTTCATATTAAAATGTCGAAAAGTTCTCATACCCGCTGGAGCTGGTAAAATGGGCTAAATAAAAAGTCTGATTGAAGAGTTGTAGAATTTTGTGATTGATCAAATCAAATGACGAGGGGCATTAAGGTCATTTTTCGACCCAAGATATTTTCAAGAAATAACTATATGGCGATAACACGGTTGATATGGGCTACAAATCTAGGACATTTATTTGCCTTGAATTGACTTCAAGGTTTTTGACCCCCAACCTCCCTTGAAAAATTTTCAAAATTTTCAAAATTCAAGGATTTCAAAACGTTTTTTTTCAAAATTTAATCTTTTAAAACTACCTAGGAATACTAAGTCGGCCACGCTGATTACGAATATCGCTATCACAAAATCCAGAAATATACTGCTGAAGCACAAAACGATTTTTACCT